GAGGCCGCATGTCCCCACTGCCCTCGGCCAGCGGGGAGCAGTGGTACAAGCTGGGGCACAGCCCAGCCCTCACCCCATTCGCCTCCCCTGCCATGGAGGGGAAGGGGGGTGGCAGCCCCTACGCAAACCTTTTCCCAGACCCTGTATCCACTGCCCAGTCATGGCACCCAAATCATGCCCATGGCGAATTGCCAGGGATGATGACCAGTAGTCCAAGGGCAGCTGGTGTCACCCTGATCACAAAATTTGTTAATCCTCATTAGCTGCAAATCTATCTCAGGTGCAAACAGAATAGGAACGGAATGGAACGGAATGGAACGGAATGGAATAGAATAGAATAGAATAGAATAGAATAGAATAGAATAGAATAGAATAGAATAGAATAGAATAGAGCAAAACAGTTGGAAGGGACCTCTAACAATCATCTAGTCCAACTGCCTGACCACTTCAGGGCAAACCAAAAGTTAAAGCATGTTATTAGGGATGTTGTCCAAATGCCTCTTCACTGACAGCATCTACCACCTCTCTAGGAAGCCTGTTCACCTGTTTGACCACCCTTTTGATAAAGAACTCCTTCCTCTAAACTCTGAACCTCTCCTGGCAAAGCTTTGAATCATTCCCACGCATTCTGTCACTGGATACCAAGAAGAAGAGCTCAGCGCTTCCTCTCCACTTCCCCTTCTCAGGAAGCTGTGGAGAGCAATGAGGTCACTTCTTAGTCTCCTTTTCTCCAAACTAGACAAACCTGGCCAGTCAGTAAAAGGTTTTGCCATTGACTTCACTGGTTGGAAAAATTAGTTGTGGCTTTTTTTTTTTTAACATCATCAGACATTCATTACATTCTCCCACGAGAGCAGGTGAATTATCTGTTGTGAATAATTTATCCAGTGAATTTAGTCCTGTTCATGTATAAAGAGTGCCATTTGCATTCAGAATTACAAGTGTTCAATAAGAGCAATATGAGCACATCATTCAACTTACATGTCTTTCCTGCCTTCTGCAAGAGACAGAGGGAAGGACAGATGAGGCAGAAGCCAAGATATTGGCTGGAAGAGGAGGAGTGAGTTACGTTTTACAGAGTGGAGTTCATAAACATGCCTAGCATCCAGAAGCCATTGGGACAACCATGACCAATAGGTGTAAGTCGCTCACCTTGAGTGTGCCTCCGTCAATTGTTCCATGTCATGAGTTCCCCCATTACTTGATCATATTTCTGCTCTTTAAACAGCTGAAGGAAATTTGATAAAAAAAGTGAAAACACCAAATGCTCTTGAGCAAATGCAAATACACAGAGCCAGGTGTCCTTTCAAAATTTGAAAGAACAAAGTCTGATCATGTATCTTGGAAAAAAGTGGGAAAAAATGCTAATGAGTAGAACTGGGTCACATGGCTGAACTTACCAATTTTTGCACTTTCCTACTGGTGCTTTGCTACATTTCACCAATCCTTTATATTTCACAAGTTCTCCTTACTAGTGTTGAATCCAATGGAAGGAGATATAGAGATACAAAAGGCAGAGTCGAGCTGGCTTAAAGCTTCACAGCTGTACAGAACAGACAAATTACTACGTCTTCTTTCTTTTTGTGTCAATATCTGTGGTGGATATGGTGGTGAACATATGATAGTGGAGTTTCAGCTTATTTTTCAGTCAACCCAAAATCCAACTGTTAATGGAGGAAAGCGACTTGAGGTCAACCTGAAATTACTACTTGGGAAATGTTTTGACAAATTAATTTTTTTTCTGCACATTTGGGTTCAATCCTTATTGCACTTTAAAAGTATTATTTAAATAACCTTGAAGTACCTCTGGAAATGGATAGTCATTCTAAAATGAAAGGTTAAAGCACTGAATTTTAAAAGTGACAAATTAAATATTTCCATTTTTTCGTTTATCTTTTATTATTTTGATTTAACCTGAAGATAGCTATGGATTCATCATGAATTCATTTAGTCCCCTGAATTATGGTAAGGATTTCTTTATGGCTTCCCTTCGTCTCTGTAGGTCTAAAATCGAACTCTGCTTCTGACAGGGAAAAGTGTCATAACTCTGTCTGCCTGGCAAGGGGGAAGACAGACTGACAAACACCTTGCAAAGTGGAAGCAAACGGGCAGCTCTAATTTAAAAGCACACAGAGACTCCACAGCCATCAGGGAGCTCCTGGTGACATGCAGACAAGGGGCAACTGAGCAGCTGTGGTAGGAGAGCTGTTCCTACTGAATCCCCACAGCATGACTTAGCCTGAGGGGCATCTGACATGGTGGAAGAGATCCCATGCTGAGCTGCATGGCACAGCCACACCAGCAGGTTTATTCCAGCTGAAGGGGATATGGAAGAAGCTCTGTGGAAGAAATGTTCTCCAAGGTAGCTTTTTTTTCATGTATTGACTGAGTATGAATGAAGAAAACCAGACAAGAAACGCTATATAACAAAATTATTCAAAAAGGGTAATTTAAAAAGTGTAGCATTTATAGGTACACATTTTTTAAAAAAGAAATTAAGGACTTTGAGGTGGAATCTATTCTCTCCTTGTTCCCTGGACATACCCTACAGCTATTTTGGGCTGCTTGCTGAAGCTTACTGTCACAGCCTGCTGGTCCAGCTCTCAGCCTTGGTTCCACCACTGACCTGTGCTGTGATACTCAGGAAGCCAGGGCTTTGCTTCATTTCAACAGAGGGTGCCTTCTCCAGTGACCCACAGGCACCACAGTCTTGTCCCAGCCTTACTCCCTACAGAGTGCCAGAGCCGCAGGGGCACCCCCTGCAGCTGGAGCCATCAGGTGAAACAGCATCAGCATAGCAGTAATTACAAAGCAGCTGCAGAGACTCACCCTGCTTCTCCCCAGTGATTATACTGGGCAGACACTGTCAGATCCCCCAGAAACTGCGGTCTGTGGCCCAGAATGAATACTGAATAGCATCCTAGGATTCACCAAGTATGAATTAGTGATGGGGGTTACAGCTAGGAAACAATTTTGTCCCTCATTTTGACAGAAGCCCCATTTTTTTGGTATTTCAAGGCTGCCTCACATGCTGAATGGGAGCACTGATCACAGGGCGATAGGACAGAGCTGTTTGAACATCTCTGCGGGAGTTTTTCAGTTCATGCTTCATTTCTGTATAGGTTTAGTGACTCCAGAGAGTCAGGAGCATCTGTCTCAATGTAATACCCAGGATATGCTCAGTTTTAAGCCAGAGTTTACCCATTTTTTTGCTGAAGTTCTTTACCTTTTTTTTTTTGTTAGCATTCTCCATAATTGTGTTTCAACCATCACATATACTATAGAATCATAGAATTGTTTAGGTTAGAAAAGACCTTTAAGATCATTGAGTGCCACTGTTAGTTGTACATATGTATATATAATTCATGGGACTCGAAGAGGCTCCATCAATTTAAAACTTGTAGGTCCTCCTAACGAGAAGCAGTGAATCACAGAAA